ATTTCTCTTCTTTTACAGTGAGTCATTAGATGTCATCACAGACAGTGTTTCTGTGTGGAAACACCAGTAGAATCACATCTAAAGAGCTGCTCTCTGGAGAAAACCCTGCAAATATTCAGTGACTGCGATGCTTTGATATAGTTGGTGTATTGACTCTGTTTGCGGATGCTGTATATGTGTTTTATTCTCTTGTTTTCCTGGTTCTATAGGATGATTTAGGTGAGCTTGGAGAGAGGGTGTGATCTGTGTGTCGCTCAGTTCAGCATGTGGTCTTTTATACGTGAGCGTGAGATATTCCTGAGGAGTGTTTGTGGATCGGGCTTCTGTGAGTGCTGCAGCAGATCATCACTGATGCGGACAGACATCTAGACACGCTGCTCTGAGAGAGAGAGAGCAGTCTCTAAAACAACCAGAAAACATTTATCAACTGAAGAAATGTTCACAAAAGTACTTTTTTGAACGACTCACTTGTAGAGCCATTGCTCTTTGATTTCTTTGCACATGTATTGGTTTCTGTGTAAAACTCTACGAGAGTTTGTGTGCAGCGCTGGCTCCGGTCAAAAACTTGAACTCGGAGCAGTGTGCAGGTCTTCTGGATGCCTCGTGTTAGATGTGCTACTGGGAACCTGCAGTGAACCTAATGGGTGTAGTTTGCACGTCCAAAGGTGTCTTTACACCAAGTTACAGCTGTTTAAAATTCCATGTAAAGACACTGCGGCATAAAAGCCAGGCTAAACTACGCCTCCTCGGACCGCAGGGTCACAGCGCTGATGGAAGGTGCAATAGCTGTGTAAATGCTTTTATGCAAACAATGTCTGCAATGTTCAGAGGCGCTTTGGTGTCATATTTGCCGTGTAAGTGCAGCACAGATACAGATGAACAAATACTGAGTGATAAAAATAAAGGCTTTGATTTGAATATTTGCTCCAGACTTCACTGACGGCCAGATTCTGTGTTGTCCTATTGCATAGAGATCTTCAAGACACTATGCACTAAACCGGGTTTGTTTGGCATTTCAAACTCTACAGTGACTCTCAGGAGGATAAAGAGGGAGAAATAAATAAACAGTGTCTCTGTGTTGCCCTGGAGGCTCAATCTATTAACGCTCCCAGATGATCGTGTCGCTCATCAATGGGGATCTACTATCACAGATATCCCGCTGATGGATACGGTTACATCAGCACCGAGTAAACCAGATCCTCTTCTCCATCTGTCCCCGCTGCACCTGATCGACTGGTGAGAGTCCGTTGTCCTGTTCCTATTGGAGCTGTTGGAAAGGCCAAGGGTCAGCGACCTCCACGTGACACTGATCGTGCAGACCAAACCGTAAGTCGTAGAGAGCTGAAACCGGGAGGGATGGTCGTACTCACACCGCCTG